TTAGAAGGAAAACAAACTCTTTCATGAGGTGACAGATGCAGGGCCCAACAGTGTAATACTTTGCTAGATGATATCCCAGTAGTCCAACACAAATGCATGATTGATAAAGCATGATTGGGGGACGGGTTATAAATCGCACGAGATCAATATCTCACGTGACCAACAGCCAGCATGTCTGTCTCGTAAGTCTTGTGGCATCATCTTTAGGATTCACTAGTTAGACAGCACATGAGGCTGATATATCGGTCTTCTGGCATGCATGGGTCTTCGTTCAACTTTGTAAAGGGTTCACTACACTTATATCCCAAGCCGGCGCTGATCCATGGGGGGGGGGGGGGGTGAGGATGTGACCCCCCCCCCCCCGGCCCAAAAAACAGTTTTAAAAAGATTGTAATGTTAATTTTACCTTTTTAAAACAAAAAATGAAAATGCCCCACCCCCCGGCACAAAAAAAAAAAGATTTTCAAATTTTGCCCCCCCCCCCCATGGAAAATCCTGTATCCGCCACTTATCCCAAGTAACACACCCAAGAGAAGAAAAAATGTAGTCTTGTGGGCCTTCTGACGCATGCACACATACACATTCACGCACACACACGCGCACACACACAACACACACGGTGGCAATTGTTAAATAATTTCCCCTTTTCAGATCGCTGAATGTTTAAGTGGCTTAACCTTGTCAAATTTTCCCTTTAGTACACATTCACTACCACCATCATGTCATCATCATCGACATTATCCTCATCATCATCATCATGAAGCACAGCATCCGCCAATACGCACCAAGAGGACAGCTGCCACTCAACTTTTCGTACAAGAAGAACATTCCCGACAAAAAGTAACTGTTTGGGTGGGCCTTGTCGGGAATGGAATTTGTGTGCGTGTGTTTGAGCATGTGCGTGAGTGTGTGCATGTGCGTGTGTGTGCGTTTTTTTGTCTGTCTGGCTGTCTTTGTTCAAAACCCTATTTCATTCCTCACCCAGCAACTTGGCGCAAGTGAGATCTGGCAGTCTTGTAAAGATTGTCTGATGTTCAGTCATGCATTCAGAGATTCAAATGAAGATGGTACCTAAATGTAATGGGAGAATAACTCTATCGAGACATATCATAAAACCCATGATTAAATATTCATACTTCAAACAATACAACGTTTTAAAAGTGGGACATTTTTTCTGACTCACTCTGTAGTATGGTGACTTGACGGCCCATCAAGTATCGAACTAATGCCTATTCATTCTTTTCTCACGGTAAGAAAAGAAGGGATAATAGGCATTGGTTCGATATTGTTCACCATCTATACCATGATAATGATTTCCTGAAAGTAGTTTTGAAAGTGGCTCTCAAAACTTCCCAACCGGTTTCTATGATTCTAATCACACCATGGTGATTGATTATACATCAGTGCAAGATAATTCATGTTCTAACATTTTAACTAGATCGTTTAGATTTTGCTTTTGAATGTCAATTTCTCCGAGGACATCAAACTAGGAGAATAAACAAGACTTAGTCGAGAGCGACATTTTTTTCTGCGATGCCTTGGAAATAACACGTAGATGATATAGAGGATAGTATCTGCAATTGACTGTGGAATAACCAAGGGGGGAGACGATGTTTGCAATTTACGGAGCCTGGTTTCTGTTGCTGATCATTTCAGTGGCGACTATCTTTGCTCAGCATGGTGAGTTTTAAGGGAGAAAGAAAGATACACGTACAATGTCATTATCATGGCAAGTACATAACGTCACATATTTCGCACACATGCACGCACACACAATCCTGCACACACAAACACACTCAAATGTAGCAGGCACGCCCATGCTTACTCTTTACAAATTGTTTTCGTGATGCATCTGAAACGCACACCCTTCCTCATCCTCGCACTTGTTAATACTTCAACGAACGAACATTATATTAAAACATCCTCTTTGATTTTAGTCAATACACCCAATTTGAACCCGCCGCCGAAAACAAGCTCACTTGCATTCGGATTAAGAATCCTCCTCATCACTGTAGATTAAGTTAGTATCCTTAGTATTTGATGACTTGCATAAAATCGTTTTTAATATTTTAGTACCACAAATCTATTGAAAATATTTATATGTTTTGTAACCTTGTATATGCTTTACATTGTTAATTATTTTCATATGCAGTTAATGTGGAAATAAAACCTAAATAAAAATAAAATAGTTTTAACAAATAATAATCTGCAAGAATTGTTTTTTTCTCGAGTAATCAATTCAAGAGCAATTTTAAAACCTATCGTATTGACTACAAATAAAAATTTGTATTTTGTATCATATCCCCCATACTAAGAATTTTGCAATCTGATTGGTCTAAATCTGATTGGTCAATTCAAGAGCAATTTCAAAACCTATCGTATTGACTACAAATTAAAATTTGTATTTTGTATTATATCCCCCATACTAAGAATTTTGCAATCTGATTGGTCTAAATCTGATTGGTCAATTCAAGAGCAATTTTAAAACCTATCGTATTGACTACAAATTAAAATTTGTATTTTGTATTATATCCCCCATACTAAGAATTTTGCAATCTGATTGGTCTAAACGAGGTCACATGATCAATGACAGATTTACCATCACTTCATGGCCGTAAGCTAGGGGTTTGATAGTACTTTTGTAGAGTACAAACTATCATCCCCTCGTTGATCTCTAGTGTGTACATACACTGTAGACATGTATGATATGTTATGTGTTGACCAGTTCATCGTTCTTTCAGATTTTTACCAGTTGTATTGTTTTATTAACTGAATTGAAATACGATTATGCGATATAAAACAAATATTAACCTCCTTTAATCGTGCAATGGATACAAACTATATCATCGCCGAGGTGATGATAGTTTTTACCATTACTCTCGTAATCGGTTAATATTTGCTTACTATGTCATTGTAATGTTAGAATATTTAAAAACTAGAGTTTTTTCTAAGAGTCTTTGTGAATTTAGCGTCTTGAGAGATATTGCATCAGAGAGTTCAATTTAAAACGTCAGTTTTCCTTACTATATTTATACTTTAACAATTGTCCGATTCCATGACTATGAAATTCTTAAGTTTTACATTTGTTTTCGATAATGTAGGTCCTGGTTTTATGGGCTGCTACCCATCCGGAAAGCACCTACAAGGTCTCTTCACCACCGGGTATATGTCACAAAGCTTGGATGAATGTAGGGACAATTGTAGCATAGATGGAAGATCATACGCAGCGATATCAGAAAGCACTTGCTTTTGTAGTGATGGCCTTCCAACGATCCAGAAATCAGAGGACACACAATGTAACTCACCTTGCACAGGAAATATCAACCAGACCTGCGGATCAAGAACACATTATTCGGGTACGTGGTTAATTGTTATTAGTATTATTATTATTATTATTATTATTATTATTATTATTATTATTATTATTATTATTATTATCTTTATTATCATTATCATTATTATCATAATCAGTCTTATTGTTTGTTTATATAACTTTTATTCTGTGTTATATTATTCTTTTTGGTAATACTATTATGTTATTATAATTTTTAGTATTTTGTATTTTGTATTTTTATTTAGCTAAAAGCTGCTTTTCAGCGAGGCCGTGAATAACAATCGAACACAACTAGTAAACGAATACAAAATTATATACAAAAGAAATCACAAAAATTTTCATAACAACATAATCAGATGAAAACAAATAAAATGAATTAAACATTACTTGAAGTATTATTAGCAGTAACAGCAGTAGGAGTATCATCATCATCTTCGTTTACCTTATATTTATAATTAAACAATTTCCCGATTTCAGGACTATAACATTCAGAAGTGAGTTGGCTCAGTCGGTAACAGATAATGGGTTCGAATCCAATCCAGGCAAATTACTGAATCCTGTCTTGTGAGTTTACGTGCCCCTCCCTTGTTTTATAGATACAAGATAAAGATGGAGAATTACTGGCTTGCTGTTTTTCTTTTCTTCTATTTTTTTAATCTGTCAGAAAGATCTAAAATTTAAAAATGTTTCAACAAACTAACTTTTGAACAGCAAATTTATTAATTTACAAGAAAAAATATTTTGCCCCGAAAGCCCATCCTTGTAGAATTGTAATAACGTGTGTCATACAACACATATGTAGATCCTTGTCATTTGATTGGAGGATTGTTGGTCAAATGATATTCGATAGATATACTATTGCACGGGCGTGATTTTTGGTACTATTCGCCGTATAACTATTCGACGAGCGTGCATTTTTGGTGATATGCAGACTAGGGAGCAAAGCATGATTTGTTGAAAGATTAACGTCTTATTAGATCTACTTCGATGTTGTATAGAACAAATAATGAATGTTTTTCATTCATTCAGTAGTGCGAATATTTTCATGAGTTTAAAGATTATTAACGTTAATTATATTCAACTCGGCTGACGACTCGTGAATAGAACGTTAATCTTTCAACTCCATTATACAATAGGACTCGATACTCCTTATGTTAAACTCATAAACATTCATTATTTGTATATTATTCCACAAAGTCATATATTTCAAGTTTTAAAAAAATAGTTGAAGAAAACATATTTGTTTACAAATGGTTATCCTTTTTGCAAGGCGGAATCGTTTAAAACAGAAGAGAATGAACGAGGTGATTTTGCACAAACTCTAAACTCTAGTTTTATACAAAGAGTACCAAATGTATAATGAAGTTAATTGAGCAAGGTTTGAGATTTGGCAATAAAGGATACCATATGTATCGGAGAAGGGGTTGTCAACACAAGTTTACAAAATACAGGGTGGAAATATATGAAGCCCATAAGTTTAAACAACTTTAAAGTTAGGAAAAGTTTAGGCAGAAACTTCAAGTACATTAGAAGCTTTTCCTTGTGGTAACATAGAGGGGGTGGGGTGGTGCATGGATATCTATCGGTTTCGAATGTGCTTGTCCTTTTTAAAGTATATGTGAGTAATAAGTATTATTATTTCTTTTTCTGTTTAGTTTACAGCTCTGCAAGAGGGCAATGTTCACAACTCACGAAACCGACTAATGGTCGAGTCGTCGGGTATCGGTTAGCCGTCGGGAGTATCGTGACATTTAGCTGCTTCCTTTCCTTCGAGCTTATTGGACCTACCAGCATACGGTGTATTGGATCTGTAAATGGAAGCGGCAAACCACCAGACTGGAGTGAGCCTGTTCCTACTTGTGTCTTGAAGAGTAAAGGTTAGTGTGTTCTGGGCCCCGTCTTACAAAGAGTTACGATCGATCCAAATCAATCGTAAGTCCTCCAATCAATCGCAGTCTCCTATCTATTATGTACATAGTTACGATTGATATCAATCGCAAATAAGTTACGATTGATATCAACTCTTTGTAAGACGGGGCCCTGATCTATATCTTCTTGATTTGATTTGATAGGATTTCGTTTCATTTCATTAAATTTGATTTGATTTGATTGTATTTGATTTGAATGTATTCAATAATTTCCATATACAACATCATAATGTTTCCTACACATTAACATGTAATAAAAAGCAAAATGATATATACATCATACAGGGAAAGGGAGTTGCCATAAAGCACAACTCGAATTGCAATAATCATCGTACTATAAGGATGTGATATTCAAAATAATAATCTTGTCACAGTAACCCATTAAAATTTGCATGAAATGAAAAGGAAATATGAAATTTGCATCGATGCGTATTAAACTGTGGGACATGAATTACCAAAGGCGGAAGGACAACACAGAAGATAAAATAAGGATAAAATAACTAAATAACTAAAGACAGGAAGAAAGGAAGAAGGAAGAAGGGAAGGACAAAAAAAGAAGAGAATGAAAGAAGAGGAAATATGTATAAAGTTATATTAATATAGTATCGGTTTTGATTTGTTTTCCACTGCCTTTGTATTACTTTCGGTTAAAGGATATAGATATCCATGACAATTTGCAAGCTCAATCTTGAATAGGTTAGATTACACATGTGTGTAGTCTGTATCATAATATCACATTCATAGCTCTCTGACGGAACCTGCATACCCCATTTATAATGATTTAAAAAATAATAACCAACGTGGCAGGATTAAAACACTGACAATATTGAGAAGATTGGAACACACAAATGATAGACTACGATATACAAATAATACACATCAGTGAGTCCATTAGTAAGAATTACCCGTACGAGGTACCTTTGAAACAGTCTAACACGCCCAAGGCGATAGCTGAGGGTGTTTGGACTGTTTTGGAGGTACCGAGTGCGGGTAATCTTACTAATGCCCGAACAAAATGATGTGTATTATTTGTTTTATAAGATTATGTTTTATTTGATCGATAAAATGATGTTTCATAACATGTTTTGGATAATGACCGGTCATTATTCAAATTGCGAGTTAGCCTAAATAAATACCTGGTCACGTGTACGCTTTCAACCAATCATTTGATTAGGATCCAAGTCATCATCCTATAATGTTCTCTAAGCGATATAATTAGGAAAGTAATTATGCCTGTTTTTATGATTTGTTGACTATAGACCCAACTTGAAGCTTCTGTTAAAGCGCCCTGTAGACAAAAGTTCCCGTTTGTCTCTTTTCAATACTATTCTTCGATTCTGTAGTACCCACCTTCTTTAATAGCTATCGTAATCGTATTCTGATAAGGAAGCGTTGGTGACCAAAATGTGGTTTATTTCCGTCCACTACTTTCTCTCTCTCTTCAGCAACTGCTACAAAGCGAACTACGAATGCATCCATGATTTCCGCTGCCGCCACCATGGAATACTCTACGACAATTGGATCTACGTATGCATCAGATAAAAAGGAAAATGAAGGTATGTCACGTTCCCTTTGGTAAAGTATAAATTGTTCTTTATTTTGTTAGTCCCTCAGTGTGAACTCAAGGCGAAAATTTGTTTGTATCTCCAGCAAGACCATTTTTATCGCTTGTTGTTTGACATAGTTATGTGTAATAAAATCAGTGTGAATCAAATGATGTCCATATATGCGTTTACGATATTATCTGCAAATGAGTTGCAAATGATTATACGTACACATATATACACACAAACCTGCACACGCATATGTATATCTCTATATATTAATTAAAATGTTAGCATGATGTACACACAATAATGACCACTGATGGTGGTGTTGTCCTATGCGAGCATGTGTCATTCCATTTAACCATTATTTTATATTCAACCATCCCAAATATCGTGTGCATATATATTGTTTTGAATAAACCTCATTTTTATTCTCATTATTATATTTGCATCACATACATACACAGAGTACATGATATATTATCGTAAATATCTCGCTTTCGGTTTATTGTTTTGCCAGATAATCACTGGATCATCATCAAGGTAGGATCTGGACTGGCTGGACTATGCCTCATCATAATTTTAATCTGGTGAGTTGTTTCATGACATGGATTCAACTTATCTCTCAGTAACTCATAAAATATGAATATTCTTTATCTCATCTTTAACTTGTACTTTTCAATCATAAATTTGGATTTAAAAAAAAGGTGCAGAAAAATAAATGACAGTATATTATTATATCATTTAAATATTTGTTCACCCAAAGCATTTAAAATACGGTTGTCTGAATATTCAAGATTTAGAGGGAGAGACGGAACTCCCAGGAGGCTTGGACAGACTCGATCGCCTTTGTTTTAATAAGTAGAATATAACAAAAATGAAAGAGGAATAAAAAAATAGTTAAAGTAATAGTAAAGGGTAAGTAGTAGTAGTAGTAGTATTTGCAGTAGTATTAAGAGTAGAAGTAGTGGCAGTAGTAGTGGTAGTAATAGTGATAATAAATAAGAATAATGATAATTATAAATGTTATTCGCACATTCGTATTAACATCCTTTATGATGTTAAACGTTGAGAAATCCTAAGTGAATATTTTGGTTCAACGCTTATTGTTAAGACAATTCTTAAAAGCCAGTTTGCACCGTTTTGTTTAATCATAATACAGTGCTGTCGTGAAATATGTGAGACGGAAACGAAGAGACGACTTGACAGCCAGAGACAGCGCATGGACCCAACCAAAGAACCTAGGACAAAGAATCAATGTACCCTCAACTCTGCCTCTCACTGGCCTGAGCTCCACTGAGGTACGTGGGGAATGTGCAAGCAATGTATTCTTCTCGCGTAAATCGAGAGGAAAACTCCCTGACCCGGGGCATCAAGGGACAGTATCACCAGGCATGGAAGGCCACACCTACGGAAACATCAACACGCCATGTTCACAGTCAACGGGAAAGAGATTGGCGTCACATCCTATCAACTCTCATCGACATAGCAGAAATATCCCTCAAGCAGAGGAAAATTATGTTAACTATGTTCCGAAGAGAGGACGAATTAACATGAAATGAATAAAAAAAACTGAGGACAAAGAATCAAATAACACTCGCATATATGGCGTTATTACTACTACGTAATACGCGGTGAATGATTGATCAATTGATACTTCTCGCGTAAATCGGGAAGAACGCTCCCTGACTCGGCGCATCAAGGGACAGTATCATCAGGCATTGAAGGCCACACCTACGGCAACATCAACACGCCGATTGAAAGAGATTGAAATCACACCCTATCAAGTCTCATCGACATAGCAGAAATATCTCTTAAGCAGAGGAAAATAATGTTAACTATGTGCCGAAGAGAGAACGAATTAACATGAAATGAGAAAAGAACTTAGGACAAAGAATCAAAGTTCCCTCGCATTTCTTTGGCATTATTAATATTACGTACTACGTGATGAATACTTGATCAATTGATACTTCTCGCGTCCACTGGTTGGAACGTTCCCCGACTCGGCGCATTAAGGAACAGTATCATCAAGCTTTGGAGACAACACCTACGGCAACATGAAGATGCTGCGTTTGAAGTCAACGTGGAAGAGCTCGCCGTTCCACCCTTTCAAACCACATTAGCAAAGCAGACATCTTCCTCAGTTGTAAGATAATTATGTAAACTATGTACATGATGTACCGGAGAGAGGACAAATCAACATTACATTTTTTAAATCGTGACAAATCGTGACCATATCTGAAGCTCAAAAGGTTGAAATAAGTGAAATGTTGATATTTTTAACCAAATTATGTATATCTCACTGACTAGAACTCATGCATTTGTAAAAGAATGTTTATAGAATGTTTTTTAAAACCTTTAGGGTGCTTTGGATTAATTACTATCAGAAATGATCGTCACCATTATAAAACTTCCACCCCCACACAGACATCCTCTGTTTTAGGCCAACGTGACCTAATTATACTTTTGCATTTCAATCAAATGCGGCTCGACAGAAGTAATATTCACAAAGCATCACTGGTTAATTACTAATGTGATTTTAATAATTCTGTTAACATGTGATTAATTGTGTAAATACATAGCTTATAACGATATACGGATGTGAATAAATTTATGTTTACTTCGTACGATAGTGTCAATTGAATTGGAATGTTTGGCGTTTAGGTATTTTGTTTATGTTATGGCTGATATATAAATTGATGACACTGCAGCGATGCTGCAGTGGGGGCGTCCCTCTCAAAAAAAAAATGACAGACTTTAAAAGAACTGAAAGGGGAGTAGAGTGAGAAAGTCGTTGCCAGGTGCAATATCAATCCGAACCAATTTAGAAAATACTTATTTCAAACAAGATTGCAAAGTCTTTTAAGAAATAAATCAAAGGGCAAAAGTTCAAAACCAAATTATAATGCCTTTAGTTACAGTTTTGGGATAATATTTTATCATCATGTTCGCATATTAAAGTACTGAGAGTTCGGTATATTATTAATTTACAATAAGGCTGCTTTATGTTTCAGCTGAATAACAAAGAACTGTCCCAGGAATTATCTTATTTGTTTACGAAAAGAAATCAAGTCCACGACTATCCTACCCAACAGGCGTTTTCCTATCACCTTCCTAGAACGAGAACACGCTTTGCTCAAAATACCTTAATATATACAGGTCCTAAGTTCTGGAATTCTCTCGATTCTGTGATCAAAAGGTCTGTCAGTGTACATGTATTCAGAAGCAAATTGAAATGTTATTACTTGAATACATATTGTCATTCCTGATTCCTGACTATACTTGTCTCCAAGCTGTATAATTTTGTTGATTACAATGAGTAAATAACGGTATGACCATGCCAAATTTGTTTATAATATACTCATATCGAGAACAAACTATATTGTAATATTGTTTCAATAAGCTACAGCATTTTCCCTGTATTTTGTAGTTAATTGTGAGTATCGGTTCATGTATCCCTGTAATCTCCCTTTTCCTGTTTTAGCGTGTTTTTGTATTTTATAAACTTGACTAATAGTCAATTATGTCATTTGTAGTATAAGAAGACTATCCACAACAAGCTCTGCTTTTCCATAGGCTCCGCCACTATATCTCTTAAGTTCAACTTAATGGACAATATTCTAAATAGTGTGTACCGGTATTGTAAGTACATGTATATTATAATCATTTTCAATATAAAATGAGATATTGTGGAAACCAATAAACTATCTATCTATCTATATTTCGAAAGGTGATAGACTAGGCTATTAAAATTGCCTAACGATAGTTTTGAAATGTTTTACCATTGTATGTGTTATGTTTATATTATGTCATATAGGACAATAGATTGATTCATGCAATATAATATAGACACTTTATAGACACTACCCTGTGGTTTGTGAAGTGATCGGCTTAAAGGTACTGTATCCCTTTTGCAGCCAACATCGAATTATGTTGAATTTTGCAGAAATTATGAATATGTGTCAAATGTCCTATCTATGAAATTTAGATATTAACAGTGTCTTAGTATTGAAACTATACAAGGAACCCCGTTTACTTTGTAGACTTCACTGTCAAACACTATTGAGTGACTGACTGACTGATTTTTTTTTTTGGAGGTAAAAAAAAAAAAAATGAGCTTTAAAGAAACCAAAGCATTTATTTACACCAATAACTAACTTTTTGTAATAGCCAAAATTAAACTGATTGTCCGAAAATCAGACTATTTACTAAATTGATTGCAATCACTAAAATCGATTCAAGTATTCAAGTATTCAAGTATTCAATTTATTTCACATCACTTTAAAAACACATCAAAAGATATACAAACAAATCATAAATTTAAACAATATAAATATATATAAAAATAAAAAAAAACATTCATTTACATTGTACTGATGAAAGAAGGATGAAGGATGGATGATGTGAGGGATCAACAGAGGCCATTGGCCTGTCAAGGTTGATCCCCTATATTTCCACCCTTCAAAAGAAATACATTATGCAAAATATAAAAAATAAAAACAATCAAACAAACAGATAATATAACATAGCATAATCACATAAAAACACAACATAATTATTTACATAAATCACATAAAAGGCAATTAGATCAAATAAAACTACTCACAATTAAGAAGATAACATTTATATTTTTTCCTGAATGTAAAAACAGTGGATATTTCTTTTAATATTCGACAACTTTTCGTCGTTATTTCCCACAAAAAGACATTTTGAAGCCCTTTCTTTTTTTGGAAATTTTAAATTAAGATTATCTTTCAAATGTCATTAAAATTCAATCTTTTTCTTTTTTAGGGGGCAAGGGGGAGGAGTGAAGTGCCCCTTACCACTTTTTAAAGTACACCAAAAGTGCCCCTTCCTACATAGGAAAAGCGCCGCTTTAACTTTGTAAGAAGTGCCTATTTTTACATAAGAAATGTGCCCCTTTTATTTCGACAAGTGCCCTTATTAATTTTTAAAAGTGCCTCTTCCCCTTTTCAGCTCTGATAATTACCCCTTTTGTTTTAAAACGTACCCCTTTTCCTTCGACAAGTTCCCATTTTCCATTCTCATAAGTACCTTTTTAAATCTCTAGATAGTTATCCTTTTCAGGTATACGAGATGCGCTCCTTTTCACTTTTCACCTTTGATGAGCGTCACTTTCACCTCTGATAATTACCCTATTCAAATCTGAGAGGTTCCCCTTTTTCTTTGAAACGTTCCCCCTTTTCCTTTGATAAAAGTGCCCCTTCCCCTTTTAATAACTCCCCCTTTTTAACTCGAATAGGCGCACCTGATATTTTCACATGTGCCCCATTCTTCTTTTTAATAAGTGCCCCTTTCCTTATGATAAGTGCCCCATTAGAAAATCCCCCTTTCCTTCTCATAAATGCCTCTTTTCATTTATGAAAAAAGTTCCTTGTCATTCTCATAAGTGCCCCGTTTATTTCAAAATGTGCCTCTTTTTCTTTTAATAAGAGCCACTTCTCCCTTCTTATAAAAATCCCCCTTTCACCTCCGATAAGTGCCCCTAATAAAATCTGATCGGTGCTCCTTTTCTTTCAACAAATGCACATTTCCCTTTATCATTAGTGCCCCTTTTTCATTCTCATTAGTGCCTCTTTTCGTGTATGGTCAGTGCCCCTTTTTACCTCTGGTAATTATCCTTTTAGCAATGATATGTCCCCCCCCCCCCCTTTTCCTTTCTAATACGAAACCTATCCCTTTTTCATAAATGCCCCTTTGCACTTCTTATAAATGCCCCTATCAAAATCTGATGGGTGCCTCTTTTCCGTCGACAAATGCCCGTTTCCCATTCTCATAAAATTCTTTTTCATCCCTGGTGCGTGCCTTTTTTTCTAAATGTAAGAAGTGCCCTATTTTCACCTCTGATAATTAGCCTTTGTACTTTGATACGTGCTCGTTTTCTTTTCCTAATCCGTTCGATAAGTGTCACCTTTTCTTCTCATCGTTAAACGTGCCCCGAATTTCAAGCGACTAAGATCAATTTCCCCCATAGCTCGCTAGCTACGCTCGTTTGTAGTAATAGCCTAGATGTTATAATTATGTAACTTATCAAAGGCCTTTTCAGTCTTCTGTTATGAGAATGTGCTTATAACCCCATCAGGATTGGGTTTTTAATCTTTAAAAGATGTAATTTTTCGCACTGCGACCTCACAAATCTTTAACATTTTTGTTCTCCCGCTTTGCTCTCTCACAAATGAAATTTCAGACCATCACACCCAACTGTAAAGTATGATGCTTATAAGCAATATCTTATATGATGTAGTAGGAGAAACAAATATTGAAATTATCCCTGATAATGTAATCACAATATAGGGGTATATACCAAATGGGTCTAAAACAAATGGTATAATTTCGCTTTGAAATTTCCCTTTGAAGATGCCTTTTTTTTCCAGGAAAGTGCCCTTTTTTGTTTGTGCCCCCCCCCCCTCCACGTTGGAAGTCGCTCCGCCGCCTCTGAGTCTCCTTCAGATTTTATGAATACGTAAATTATGATACGCTTCACATTTCTTTGTCTCATAAAACAAATATCAGTGAATACGAGCAAGTCATTCATTAACATGTATCCACAAATAACATGGCGGCTCTTTTGTTTTGTTTTGTTTTGGGGGCGGCGGTTTAAATCGTCGTACGTTTATTCTATGTCGTCTAACCCGGTTAACTATCTCTAGCTTACTTACTGTTAGGGCGACTAGATCGCACTGTTAGTAATGGTTATACATCATGGGGGAAACGGGGTGAAGAGAATGGTGTTAAGGAGTAGATTGGAATGGAAAGAGTATAACATTATTGGATGGGGGTAAAAAAGACTTGATGAAAAAAATGGATGACAGGATATGTAGATGAATGAATAAATGAATAGATGGATGAAAACATTGAGTGAATATTAAAAGGATATGAAGATGAATGCATATATTGAAGAATGAATGAATCGAGGCATGGATGAATCAGTTGATATAAAGACAGATAAATGGATATAAGGATGAAGTCATTCATAATGGTTGAATGATTAGATGAATGACTGAATGGATAACTTGACTAAATAAACGAATGACCAAATGAATAAATCGATTAACGAATGAAGAAAGGAAGGAATGGATATATTATTTAATGAATAAA